GAGCACTTTGGTGAAATGAGGTAGCGCAGCCTTTTCCCACTGGAAGTCTGTCGGTGAGCCGCAGTGGGACCCAGGTGTTCCCAGTCCTCGCCCGCTTCTCCTGGGTAAATACCGTTTCCTTACATTCTGCAGAATGAAAAGTTTATCTTTTACTAAATCTGAATCAAGGTTTATTGCAAAGAAATAAGGAGCTCTAGTCGCTTGGGCTGTGAAGAGTTCAGAGGAGGAAGTCGTAGTTTAGCACTTGCATTTAAAGGCATGCTGTGTATGATGTCCATTTTCTCCTTTCATCAGGTGAAATTATAAATTTGGAAAACGGATGTTTGCAGAAAAGACTCTGAGATAGCGACATCAACAAATCCTTCATACTTGTTTTGATAAATTAATTGTAGCCATCCTGTAATACTTAAATATTGAAAAGCTAAAATGTGTAACAAGAACTGGAGAACTCATTTATTTTAGTAGGTATCAAAGCAGGCTGATTTGTCAAGTTGAGACCATTCAACAATTTGGTTGCTAGGCTAGGAGAAAGGATGGACAGTCTTTGGAGGACAAGGTATGTTTTGAAAAGAATAGCAAATTTATATTGAGGGATAGTTGCTGTGCAATCTTTGTAAACTGTACAGTTTTGTAAGAGTCAAACTTGTTTGTCCAAAGCAAGCAATATATTCTTGAATGTATTGTGGAAGTATACATTAGACATTGCCCTCATCAGAAAGAATGTACCATAAACTTATAAATAAACTAGTTAATTTGGAAAGCTGCCTGTCAGAAAAGGACCTGGGGGTGCGGGTTGACAGCCAGCTGAACATGAGCCGGCAGGGTGCCCAGGTGGCCAAGAAGGCCAATGGCATCCTGGCCTGTATCAGAAATAGTGTGGCCAGCAGGAGGCGGGAGGTGATCGTGCCCCTGTACTCGGCACTGGTGAGACCGCACCTTGAATACTGTGTTCAGTTTTGGGCCCCTCACTACAGGAAGGACCTTGAGGTCCAGAGAAGGGCAACGAAGCTGGTGAAGGGCCTGGAGAACAAGTCTTATGAGGAGCAGCTGAGGGAACAGGGACTGTTTAGCCTGGAGAAGAGGAGGCTGAGGGGAGACCTCATCGCGCTCTACAACTACCTGACAGGAGGTTATAGCGAGGTGGGGGTTGGTCTCTTCTGCCAAGTAACTAGCAATAGGACGAGAGGAAATGGCCTCAAGTTGCGCCAAGGGAGGTTTAGACTGGACATTAGGAAAAACTTCTTTACTGAAAGAGTGGTCAGGCCTTGGAACAGGCTGCCCAGGGAAGTGGTGGAGTCACCATCCCTGGAAGTATTTAAAAGACGTGTAGATGAGGCGCTTAGGGACATGGTTTAGTGGGCATGGTAGTGTTGGGTTGACGGTTGGACTCGATGATCTTAGAGGTCTTTTCCAACCTTAATAATTCTATGATTCTATGAGATCAAAAAGTTACAGAGATGAGAAACTTATGGTCAACTAGCACACACACTTACCTAACCAAAAAAGTCCAACACACCAGAAAATGTGCCACACAGGAGACGCAGCCCTGTAAAAATTTAAGGTAGCTTTTGCAGTAATAACACACTTTGCACTTCGTTAGTTAGTTACTGTATATTGGGGAGGAGGGGGTGTTGAAACTCCCATTTCCGTTTCTCTTAATAAATCTTGGTTTTCATAAGAATATTTTAATTTTAAGGCTTGCTTAGTGATTTCAGGTATAGGTTCACTACAGAAAGAAAGTATACTTGTCTGCCTTAAGAATGTCCAGAAAAAATGTGCCCAAGAAACACCTTGGGTCAAGCTTCAAGAATGTAAGATAGTATTTCTGTATTGTTTTTTGAGTCTTTTGAATCTTTACGCAAACATTAAATAAATCAAGCCTTTAAAACAATTAAGTAAGTTTTAATCTTATTTTACGAAGCAGGATCAAATGTGCAGTAAAGGTCAAATGAAGAGTGAAATGCTGAGCATAAAATCTTAATTATCTTCTTCTGAGCTCAATTCTTTAACCCAAACCTCCCATCTAATATGCTAATTTTTTTACTCTCTCTCAGAAGTACTCATATTCCAGATACTTTCAGTATGGCATGAACTACATTCAATTTTCCTTCCTGTTACTTGTTTCACATGTTGGTATATACTTAAAATAGTATCTGTCTTCCCATGTGTTATGACACATATTTGCTCTACAGCTTTCAGTTGTTTGAGAGCTGCTTTTTGCCACAGGTAGCATTTCCAAAATTTCCTCTGTAACCATTGTTGCCAGTCCAAGATAGCCCACATGTGCACTTTGGGTATGGACCTTGGCTATTTCACAGGACTCCAGAGCACTTTGCTCCCATCCATGAGTAGTACATAATAATTAACAGTAGCAACTGTGCTTTTTGAATGTACTTACACAATCACTCTACTCTTTCAGCTTCAGAGATCTTCTGACTTTAGAGATACCCAGTGTTTCTAAAATGCTGAAAAAGTTCTTAAACCAGCTAAATTTGGGATTTTGAGGCCTCTAACATTGCTGTTTGCCTTTGCTGTAAACAGATGTGAACTTGAGGTCACATCAATATCATCTACAGTAGCTAGCCTTATCACCTCATTATATTATACTTTACCGAGTAGATTTCTCAAGCAAGATAGGAAAGGTATTGTATAACGACCTATTGCCACTTACGCAATACTTGCTGCAATTGCTGCAAATGTTGATTGTGAGGGGAGCCTAATATATTGTCTTCTATGTGGTCATTAATGAGTTCCTCTGTATTTTTTTCTAGCTCTGTGCTCAAGTGTTTACTTGGAAGTGTATCATACATGTGAGCCCAACCCAAAAAGCATGTAATCTACACAGATAGAAAAAACTGACACGAAAACGTAAAAAGCAATTAGCTCTGCATTTTAAAGAATACAGCGTGTTTATCAATACTTCTTTTTCCCGAGGTAGAGAAAAGCTGGGAGGAATGGATGATTGCTAGCCTTCTGCAAGAGTGATAGTTATTCTTCTACTTGGGAACTGAAGACATAGTGAATTGCACTGATGTGTGCTGAGGAACAGATGTAAAAGACAATACAATAGGAAGAATGACAGGACATGCAGTGTTGAGGGGAGGAAGGAAGATGTAATAGATTTCCTTAAAGCAATCAAGAGAAGTTAAAGAAATACAGAAAGGATGGTAAAACTTAGATGAACAGACTTTCGCATACAAGTGCAGTGTTTGCAGTATCTGCATATCATTAGCCTATTTTGTGTCCACAACTAGGCCATCTACAAAAGCCTATTTTGTATTTAAACAAATAAAAATAGTAAATAAAGTTGCTGTTGTGATCCTGTCTGGTAGCCTTGTCTGGGCATAAACCAACTCTGTAGGTTTAGTTCTGAAAAAATAAACTTATGTTCAAAATGTACAAAAAATGAGTACTGTGTGTAGACTACACTTTTCCTTAACATTTATGATAGAGTTTCTGCTGCTGCTGTTGTTCTTCTTTAATGCCAGATTTTATTTTAGTGAGGAGAACTAGGTTTACTGTCAGACAGAGCATGGATATTCGAAAAATCTTGTCTAAAATAGCTTTATATCCCTGTGTTTGTTAATTGTATTTTTAAAAAAGTCTTCATTACTAGTCACTGGAAGTAACCCACTTTCCCCTTCCTACTCAGCTTAAACTGTATCTGTTCGGAATGTTATGTAAAATATTTTCCTTCTTGTGTTCTCTTGAAGAGAGAAATGTATAGGTTTGCTTTTTGTTTCTTTTCAGCATTCAATATGGCTTCTCCAGCTCTACTCATGCGTGTGGTTGCCTCTGCATATTCTGTTGCGGAAAAAGCTGCAACAATTGTTAGAAATGTAATGGCTGCAGGAGACCTGGGAATAGTGGAGAAGGTATTACTTTTACTTTGTTCCAATTTAATTTCTCTTATTAATGCTGAGTTAGATACAGGTCAAAGTGATATTTAATTTCTCTTATTAATGCTGAGTTAGATACAGGTCAAAGTGATATTTTTGAAGACCAGCAACTGGGGAAGGAAATACAGTCCTCACCTCTCTGATACAAGAAATATTCCTTATTAAGGATTAAAAGAGCACTGGAGAAGTGGCTTTTGACGAGTATTTCTAAAGAATATTTAGACACTTAAAAGAAACACACCATAATTTTGTCCTGATTCCCCTCACAAAACACAAGCTTTGGATAGCATGTCAGAATTCATAATAATGTATCTTTCCCATTGATTTCCTGTCATAGTTTAACCCCAGGCAGCAACAAAGCCCCACACAGCTGCTCGCTTACTCCCTCGCAGTGGGATGGAGAGAGAATCAGAAGAATAAAAGTGAGAAAACTCGTGGGTTGAGATAAAGACAGTTTAATAGGGAAAGCAAAAGCTGTGTACGCAAGCAAAGCAAAACAAGGCATTCATTCACTCCTTCCCATCGGCAGGCAGGTCTTCAGCCATCTCCAGGAAAGCAGGGCTCCGTCACACGTAACGGTTACTTGGGAAGACAAACGCTGTGACTCCAAACTGCCCCGCTTCCTCTTTCCTCCCCCAGCTTTTATTGCTGAGCACGACATCATATGATATGGAATATCCCTTTGGTCAGTTGGGGTCAGCTGTCCCAGCTGTGTCCCCTCCCACCTTCCTGGGCACCCCCAGCCTCCTTGCTGGCGGGGCAGTGTGAGAAGCAGAAAAGGCCTTGACGTCAGCAGTAATGAAAACATCCCTGTGTTATCAACACTGTTTTCAGCCCAAATCCAAAACACAGCCCCATACCAGCTACTATGAAGAAAATTTACTCTATCCCAGCCAAAACCAGCACATTTCCATACCTATGTTCTAACACGTGTAGTACAGTTAAAAGTACTGTGCCCTTGATGAATTTTGGATTAGGATAAATCAGTGTTTAGTTTCTTAAAACAAAAAAGAACCTTAGATTTTATTGTAAATCACAGTTTTCAAAATAAATTTGGAGCTTCAAATTTAATTCTAAATAGAAAACAGAAATTAAATTTACAATGATCTGCATGAAGTTCTTTGTTTGCTGTATGTAAGTAAGCTGCATTGATGAGCTAGGATCTTTGTTTTGACTACAGTACTAAAATAGATAGAATTAACTTTTTGAAGTTAATTCTAGCTTTACAGGTATGTCACAATATTATGGACTGCATTAAGTATCTATGTTATTTTTGGTCTTTACATTGAAGTAATTGCTGGTATTTACATTTTTCTGATAGTAAGCACTTTCAGCCAGTTGTGAAGAAAAGCCTCATCCTTTATAACTTATTGTCAGTTCAGAGAGTAGATGCAAAAAGATTTTTTCCCCATTTGGTCAGTTATATTCACCACTATGAAAACATTTGCAAGTTTTTCTTACTCCCTTTTTTCCTAAACAATTAAAATCAGGTGTATGGGGGAGAGAATTAAAAAAAAACTGGAAAATAATGATCTGTGTTTTCAAAAGTACTTAGATGCATGGGAGGATTCTCAGACACATGTAAGTAGAATATACTCTCCCACATAACCTGCTTTTAGGTTCTTGGAAAAACTAATGCAGCTTCACTACAAGAAAGCCTTAAAATACTTGCATCCAGAGGTACAAAGGAAGCACTGTCTGTATTTTGTTTGATTAACCAGTTCATTTTAAATGCATAAACAAGTTTCATTAAGCTTATTTTTTAAGAGTCCAGCAAGGTTAAGGTAATTTTAACTAAAACTAAATGCTGGCTTTTACCCGTTTAATTCAGTTTCACTTTAAAAAAATGCACGTGTGTTAATATTATTTCCCAGTAAATCAGAAATGCATTGGTCAGTCATTTTCTAATACAATAAAACCAGCAAATGAACACATTTTAAGCTCTGTAACCAATTAAGTAAATAATTGTAAATACGGTATAACAAAAATGATCAAAAGTAACAGGTGGTTCTAAATAAGACTGGTTATACGTACTTTTTTTTTAAATGAAGACTACAAACAGACAAAATCAGATTGAAAACAATGACCAGCAGACGAGGTTCCTGTTTGAGGGACTAGCGATCTCAGAATTCCTGCAAGCTTCTTGTCAAAGGTGGCTGGTGAAGAAAGAGGAAGAATGCAAGAGAGAGAACCTGTATGTGCCTCTGCTTTACAGTCTGGAGGGAGGAGCTGCACAAGAACAGAAAGTGCTGCTTCCTCATCATTCATCCTCTTTCTGCAGTCAGCAAACATCAAGACCAATTCCAACTGGCCTTATTGAAAGCTTTAGAAAAGCTAGGAAGACAACGTTCCACCTTCTCCCTCAACACATTGACCTCCCATCCATTTATCTAGATAAGGAAAAATAGTTCAAGGACAGTTGAATTTTTAGCTAGCTCCTCTCCCGATGTCCAGAGTTTTCTTTCCCCCAGTCAACTCTAAGCTCTCCATTTATATCGCTTCTCCTTGTAGCATTTTCCCTCCCCCCCCCCCCCCAATTGCTAGGTAGACATTTTGGCCAGCCATTCTTACATTATTGATGACTGTTTTGAAGAACTACTTTATACTGTTTTATTAGGTTGGTGTCCTGGAACAAAGGACATTCTGTGCAATAACTTGATCTTTCCGAGTCTAAACTCAGTGCCAAATATAACCAAATTTATTCGGGAATGATAGGGAAATTTCAAAGTAAAATATCAAGTTTCATAAAAACAGGCAATAGGATAAGGGACAGACTAGGTTTTGAGCATGCAAAAATTACCCCATAACATGATTCTAAATGGAATATTTCATTCCTATGGCTAATTTCTGTAGCTGGATAAAACAATTTTCATGTTGTCACCAAGTAAGATACAAGCAGATAAAATAAAATTTTTGTTTGATTCAACTAAGATGCAAATCCTTGGATGAACTGGCTTTCTTAATTCCTGTGCTAACAGAAGTATTTCATACTGGGATTCTGTCTCTGTACCTAAAGGGCTCCTCCATTCATAGATACATGAAGATTAAGGTGAGAAAGTATTAATAAATTACCCACTTCCACTATAGAGCAGGTTATTAATGTTTAGGAAGAAATTACTGTAACCCATTTGGCAACATATGTTTGGCTGCACTGCATCTTTTGGGAAGGCTTTCCGTCATTGTTTCATGTCATCTTGAGACACCAAATCCACTGTTTCCTCTCTGGTATTTTTGCTGGAAAAAATGTATGGGTGTTACTGTCCAGTTCAATTTCACTGGTTAGCTTCTGGCTCTCCTTGGTCTTTCTCTGCTAGACTAAGGAACCGTTCACTATTTAGAAGTTTATACATCATAATTGTTTCCATTTTTTTTTTTAACAAGCTAGATTAATTGGACCTTTAAATTACCTTTTACTAACACCTTCCCTGTATTTCTCCTCTTCCCTAATTTGCCATGTCTCTCCAGTGAGCCTTAAAATATTTATTTTTTCCTGTTAGCATCTTAATTTTTGCTTTTCTCTTTTCTTGTATTATATCTGGGTTCATACTTGTACTAATTTATTCTGTACATAGTGTAGTATTTGCACAAATACATATTCAGTACAATTGCACCAGTGCATGAGAAGTACACAGCATGTAAATATTGTTCTAATATCATACCAGTCTATCTTAGCACAGGGAAACTCTGCTTCTTTCAGTTTTTAGCCTGCCTCTCTCAAGATCACTTACTAGGTTGATGATTTATCAAATTAGACTTCTTTTTCATTACAAAGTAGATATTCAGAGTGACATATGGGCCATTGTACTGGGGTTTTTTTGTTGTTGTTTTGAAGTACACAAATTCCTATCCATCCTGTGACAGACCGGAGCCAATGACTTGCAGACCAAAGCTGACCGACTGGTACAAATGAGCATTTGTGCTTCCCTGGCACGGAAATTTCCCAAGGTGACAATCATAGGAGAAGAAGTAAGTACCTAATTTATTTCATACTAACAATTTAACTTGCTGTAACTTGCAGTGGAATTTGCTTTGGCAGGTTTTAGGAAATCATCTGTTTTTAAAAACAAAAAAAATTATTTCCATCCCGTTTCATCTTTCCATTGCATTAGCTTTATCAAGTAATCTGCAAGCAAATCCACAGTTCTGAGGCAAATCAAGGTGAGTCCAACACCTTTTTCTAATAATTTTGAGAATCCTATTGTTAGGAACTGCCCGCTGATGAGGTAACTGAGGAATTAATTGAAGATGGTCACTGTGAAGAAATACTGAAGAAAACTTGCCCTGCTCAGTACACAGGAATTAAAGAGGAAGAGGTAATGTGGTAATGCTATACATATGTCTTCATATTTTACACTCTATCTATGTTACTTACTGATTTTAGCTTAAGAAAAAAGGTTATTTCAGTGTTGCTAATTTTTCTTTTTGGTTTGAAAACTGAAACGTAGTCATGAGAATCATACCTCCAGAGCTGGAAATGCTGCATGTCCCTGTGTGCAATAATGGGAAATGGAAATTTGCTTCTTACAGCCTGTGATTCAAATTTATTTGGAAGGAATCTACTTTGGACATAAGAAAGTAATTTAATTTCCATGTTCAGTTTAAGCCTTCATACCTCTATTAAGATATTTGCTGAGAAGTTCAGTCAGTTTTTAAGCTTTTTTATGTAAAATACTATTGTAGGCTTCAGTGATATCATAATGTTAAAAATTTGAATCTGTTTATTTCCTTACTGCTGTAAGGAAATAAAAGCACTAAAGTAAAATATATACTTTGCATGGTAATTTACATGATTTGTATTTGTTAATTTTCCTTTTTTTTTTATTTTTAAAGCTTGTAATATGGGTTGATCCCTTGGATGGAACCAAGGAGTACACTGAAGGTTGGCTTCTCTTTTAATTCTGCTGATTCAAAAAATACTATAGCAATGTAATAAAATAGCATGTCATGTAGAAAGTTTTATGATAGAAGTTACACGTGATATTGTTTCATAAGGCTGATGTTGTTTCTGTACTTTGAGTTCTACGGAATTTTTTAATTGTGCCATTCATTTCTAACCAGTATTGAATATTCCTAATGGGCTACTGAGTGCCCACCAGTTTTTATCATTTCAGGGAGCAAAGGGTTGCCTTTGATTGCTGGCAGGTTGTCTTAAGTTTTTAGTCAAATTTACAGTTTCACATACACTTTGAATTGAGGGACTAAATCTCTCATTCGCACAGCAATATGCTCAATTATATTTACATCCTCCTCTTCAAACAACCCAAATACCACAGCTGTATTTGTAGTCCTTTCAAAATAAAACAACATCTTCCCCTAAATCATAATTCTTCAGTTATGGGCAGAAACTGTTTTTAGCAAAGCCTAATTTTTGTCCATAGAAATAGACCCTAAAATGAAGGGGAAAAAAAAAGAAAAACCTCCAAAAACAATGTGCCAAAACCTCACTTTAGCCTCCTGTTGCATCTTTTAGTTGATTAATGTAAAATCTTTTAGGCAGGTTTTTTTTCCCCTTTTCGGGGAAAGAGATGTACAACTGTGAACAAGTTGCTAGTTTTGAATACCATTAAAGAATTCACACCACAATTGTAGAAGAATGTCATCATATACTGCTATTTAGTTGTATCTTTAAACTTCTTTCTCATTATGTGTTAATTATAACATAGTTCTATTACGAGAATTCCATTTGGGGCATTTTTTTTTCCAGACCTCAAGGCTAAATGACTGAAAAAATTATATCAACCAACCTATTACACCTGAAAATCCTGATTAGTATTTGCATTTTTAAGATACCACCCTGCATATCAATTCGTGGACTTTTATTGAAGGGCTTTTTTTTTATATATACTTTCTCTTTTTCAAGCACAACTACATTCATATTATTTCTGTACAGGTCTCCTTGACCATGTAACGGTTCTTATTGGAATTGCTTATGGAGGCAAAGCAATAGCAGGAGTTATTAACCAGCCGTATTACAACTATGAGGTATTAAATGCATTCATTTGTTTAAAAGCATTAGGTGATTTCTAACTGTCAATTCTAAGCCATTTCTAGTTAGCACACTTTCAACTGAAAAGCAGTGTGTAGCGGAGTTAATGTTGTAATATAAGGTGTTGTTGTTTTCATTAAATACATAAAATTTTGAAGTTGGTTTCCAGGAACTGAATCTCAGGGACCTAGTAACAGTCATACTGAATCCTGAGGCTTGTATAATACACTAATACAGTGTATATTACATATGTACTGTACATATTACTACAGTACATATAAAGTATATATTGTAAAACAAGTACAGATTGGTATTTTTGCAATCTTTGCTAGAAATTCTTTAGTAAATCCATGCAATAGGTGTATTTGCGATGTGCGGTAACTGCCGTAAATCTGCAGCCCTAAATAAACCAAGCGTACCTGTCACTGGCAGCGGGGTTAGAATGTATCAGGCCAGGTTTCAGGTGTAAGTCCAGAATGGCCAACCTACAGGCATTTACACATGTTTGGAGATTATTTCAGTATTATCTGTGAGGGGGGGGAAAGGCTCATGATGCAGCCTAATTAATTAAACTTACTAGAATTTAAAGAAAAATCTCTTGAGCTGATGTAATGCATATAATCAGCTGATTCTATACATTCTATGTGATATGTATGACAAAGCATTTAAAATGACAAGATATTTTCAGTTACAGATTGTGCCTGAAGTACAGAAATATACAAATATTAATTTGTCGGTCATTGGAGGCAGGATGTAATGCACCACCACAATGTCAAAGATAATAGAAGGGTAAATTATATCATTGCCTTAGAGGG